TGGGGAGACACACTCCGGGCTCTGCCCTAGAGCTGCTGGGAGGGGCGGAGGATGTACAGGAAGTGGGCCTTGCGGGCAGGCAGCCTGGCGCGCAAGGGGCCCTGGGGGCCCTCTTCAGAGGTGTCCTCATGAGTCCCCTCTCGGAGACCCTCTCGGATGGCCTGCAGCCGGTGACGCTTCTCGCTGAGCCAGCGGCCCCCCTCTTGGGCATCCTGGCGGGACCTCCACCGGGGCAGCTTCATGATCAAGAAGGATACCCGCGGACGTGGCTCCATGTGGACATTGTGGACATCAGCCACCTTCTGGACAGGCGCCAGGGCCTCCTTCTCCTCCCTCCTGGGCACCTGGGCAGGAGGAAATGTACTTGATTAATTGTGTGTGCGCCCCCGCCCCCCCAGTATGTGGAAGTCCTAACCCCTGACTACAGCAGCCCTGGTGGCCAAATGCGATAGCCAGCTAACTGCTCACCCCAAGGTCAGCAGTTTGAACCCACCAGCTGCTCTAAGGGAGAAGATGAGGCGGTCTACTCCCGTGAAGATTTCCAGTCTCCCAGACCCACAGGGAGAGTTCCACTCTGAGCTGTATACATGGTAGATCTACATCCACTCAATGACAGTGAGGGGTTGAGTAACCCCTGCCTCCTTGGGAAAGAGGACTTTCCCTTTTGTTACCTAAAACCAGATCCTACTGAGTGCTGCCTTCTATGGACACACACACACACACACACACAAGGGGGGGGCAGGGACTTTTTGAGGACAGAGATATCAGGAGCAGATAGGTAGATGGCCTCAAAGCCATCAAGGAATTCCAGCAACACTTGGGAGAGCAGGAGGTAAGACAGACAGATCTGTGGGCTGGAAAGAGCCCATCTGGCCAGTGCCCTGGATTTGCATTCTCATGAGTACCTGGAGGAGGTCTTCCTGCTGGGGCAGGTAGAGACGCAGCGAAAAAGAGGAAGAGCCCAGACCAGACGGACAGACACGGTGGCTGCCACAACAGGTTCAAGCGTGACACTTGTGAAGATGGTGCAGGGGTGCCTTTGGTTGTACTCAGGGACGCTATGAGTCAGGATCCCCCTCCTCAGCACCCAACAATAACTACAGCAGCAGCAGACATTGGGGATCCTGGTGGCCCATTGGGTTATGTACTGAGCTGCTCCCTGCCAGGCCAGCAGTTTGGAACTTGCAGCTGCTACGTGGAAGGCAGATGAGGCTAGCAAAAGGTGACCAGACGTCCCGCTTTTTAACAATTTTTCCCATGTCCCGCGCGCGGCATTTAAAAAAGTCCCGATTTTTGGAAAGAATGCACGACAAGCTAGGGTATATGGTTTTCGGCTGCCATGTGGCTATTTCGCCAGGATCTGAGTTTTATCAATGGTGTCCTGCTTTACCAATGTTAAAATCTGGTCACAGGCTAACAGCCCCCACGCAGAGCTGCTCCGCTCTGAGGGTATGGAAGGCCAGGCCTTTCAGAAACCGACCACCCACAGCCATCGAGTCCCTTCCCACCCACAGCGATCCCATAGGACCCAGTGGAACTGGGGGTTTCTGAGACTGTAACTCTTGGTGGGAAGGAACCGTGGCGGCAGAGTGGTCAGGTAGGTGGCTACTGACCACGGGGCCAGTGGTTCCACTCCACCAGCCACTCGGTGGGAGCGAGAGGAGGTTCTCCATTCCCTTAGAGAGTCACAGTCTTGGAAACCTACGGGGGCAGCCCCACTCTGTCCTCGAGGGTCACCAGGAGTCGGATTTGGCTTGCTGGCAGTGAGAATGGGTGAAATCTTTACAGGGGCAGACAGCTTCATTCATCTCCCTTGGTGTGGCCGGTGGGCTCAAGCCCCTGATCCGGTGACCTAGCTGTCCACTTCGTAGCCCACTGCACCTCAGGGTGGGTTCAATTGGCCCACCTTTCAGGTAGTCATGAGCGCTTCTGGGTGCACGACCCAGGGAGTGAAGACATGTGACCTGGGGGCCTGGTGGGTTAGGCACTGGGCTGCTAATGAAAGGTTAGTAGTTCAAACCCAACGGCCCCTCTGAGGGGTAAAGATGAGGTTGCCTGCTTCGGCAAAGGTTTAACCATGTTGCTGAAACCCACAGGGGCAGCTCTGGGCTTTGGAATCAACCCGAGGGTAGTGGGTGCCCGGGAAGCTTTGTAACCAGCTGCCATTGCATTCATTTGGACTTTGAGGGACCTTGTTGGGGAGAGTGGAGTTTCCCCGCAGGCTTTCCACGGAAGCTGTCATTTCCCCAGAAGCAGACAGTCGTGCCCATCTTCCTGCCGAGCTTTCTAGTCGTTTCTGAGCACTGAACCTCCGAACCACCAGGGCTCCTTGGAAGCTCCATAGCATTCCGAATGAATGCCACCCCCCCACCCCGCACCCCCCTCGCCCCCCCACCAAGGTTGGAAGCTTCAGCTTGTCTTGCTACTTCCCACCCAAACTGTGGAAAACACCGGGGGCTTGGATGCCATTTTGGGGGGGGCAGGGGGGAGCCTCTCCTAACCTTCCAGTCACTCTCCAAGCTCCCCTCTGCTGGGCTGATGGATGCCACCACTTTCTCGGAGATGAGCACCTCTCCGGTATTGTTGTCAGTCATCTGTAAGGGTGGGAGGAGAGAGTGCCAGTGAACCACCTCCCCCGCCCCCGCCCCCGCCCACTCCCCCCTCTTCTGACAACTGGACGTGTTGCAGCAGGAGGGAGGGTGGTGAGACTCCTGGAGGGACTTCCCGGGAGTAGGTACCTTGTCGAGCTGGTGGTGGCTGGAGAGGGTGCTGTTCCCCAACCGGCGCTCCTGGTTCTCCTCCTGGTGGTAGTTCTTGGGGAGGCCCCGGAAATCCATGGGGGCCGAGAAGATGTTGTCCATTCCCCGGAACAGGTCATCCTGGGGCATGAATGGTGACCTCAGGACTCCTGGCAACACTGCTGCCCAGGGAGGATGCCCTCAAGGTCCCTCCCACCTCTTCCTCTCTGACCTATGACCCTTAGGGCCCCACAAGTTCCCCCCTGCCCTCACACCCCATCTGGTTCTATCTGCTTCCTAACTAGCTTTGTCCCTCTCTGCCAGTCTCTAGTCACTATCTCTTTATCTTGCTCCTTTTCTGTCTTGCTTTCTGCCTCCCTGATCCTCTCTTTCCTTCCCTCATCTGTATTTACATCTATCCATTTCCATGATAGGAACCCTGGTAGTGTACCATTCCTGCTGCTAACCATAAGGTCAGCAGTTCAAAGCCACCAACTGCTCCAAGGGAGGACGATGAGGCCTTTTACTCCCCAAAAGAGTTCCAGTCTCAGAAGCCCAGAAGGGCTGTTCTATCCTGTCCTGTGGGGTCGCTATGAGTCAGAATTGACTCAGTGGCAGTGAGTTTGACTTTTTTTTTATACCCATCATTTCAGGTTTTTAAATTTTTGCTTTATATCCATCATATAAAGTCTAAGCAAGTGCCGCACTTCTGCCAAGTTGATGACTGTCTGTTCTCATACAGCAGTGGTTCTCAGCCTTCCTAATGTCTCCACCCTTTAAGACAGGGCCTCATGTTGTGGTGACCCCCCAACCATGAAATCATTGTCATGGCTACTTCATCACTGTTATCTTGCTACTGTTATGAATCTGGCGACCCCCGGTGAAAGGGTCGTTGGACCCCCCCCCAAGGGGTCGCGACCCACAGGTTGAGAACCGCTGTCATAAAGGTCTCCAGCTTGGGAAAATCCTACATAGGGACAGTCTGAGCTGACCCAGGGACTTGATGGCAAGGGGTTTCGCTTGGATTTCATGTCGATTTTAAGGAGTCCTGGTGGGGTGGCGCTGTGGGTAAGTGCTGGGTTACTAAGGAAAGAAAAGGTAGGTGGCGGGTTGGGGAGAGGAGGCGGTCCGCTTTCTTGAAGAGGCAGCCTTGGAAACCCTAAGGGGGCCTTCTACTCCAGCCCGTCGAACCGCTCTGAGTTTGACGCAAGAGCGACGGGGGGTTTGGCGTGGATTCATTTCTTAGTGCCTCCTTCCCTATCTCTCTGACTCTGCTCCTGTCTCTTGTCCCTGTCCTTGTCCTCCCCCCTATCTCCTGGTCCTCCTGCCGCCTGCTCTGCCTCCTTCCCTCCTCCAGTTTGTCCCTTTCTCCCTAGCTCCCGCCCACCTGTTCCCCAGAACCCCGTCTGCCCTCTCATCCCCATGGTCCCCTCTCCCTGACTCATCCAGTCTTTCCCTCCTCCCCTCGGTCGTCGTCGCTCACTTTCAGGAAAAGCCGACTGAAGCCTTGCAGTAGGCTCTGCAGGCCTAGCAGGCCCAAGGAGCTCTCCTGCATGTCACCGTCTCGGATTGGGGCGGCAGCGGAGGGGCCAATCAGGACAGAGGCGGGGAGCAGTAGCAGGACCAGCGGGCACCACATTTCCAGGCCGACGGGGAGGCTACGGCCAAGCAGGAGGGAGTCAGAGGGCCCCCAGCTTCTCCTCAAGGCCATGCCCTGAGATGACCACGTCCCACCTAGGACCTCTCTCCCTCACCTCCTCAGCAGACCCTCATCTTTCAAGGGCTCCCTTTTTATAACCATTCCCTGGCTCCGACTCCACTCCGGCTCCGACTCCACCCGTTATCCAGGCAAGGTGCCCCCCTTTCTTCCACCCCACCTCTTTTCAGCTAGGCCCCGCCCCCTCCTTCTGGGCTGGGCCTCCTACGCACATCTCCTACCTATCCCTTGGCCCTAGTCTCCCCGTCTTCCGGGGTAGCCCTTATTCCAGATCCCAGGCAAGACCCTGTGGGTCTGGACACCTTGGGTTGCCCACGGACTGTTAAATCCAAACAGTTCTGGCCGCGAGCCCAGGTCCGGCACTTGGGGCGTTGGATGCAGCTCCGCGAGCCTTCGCCACGCCCCGATTGTCGGGCCACGCCCAGAAGCTGGGGCCCCGCCCACAAGGACACACCACGCCCCGTTCTTTAATAACCCCTTCTTTAGGTCAGGATCATGCGCTATTCTCTCCAGGCCACGCCCCGATTGAGAGCTCTAGGCCACGCCTCTATGGTCAGACCACGCCCCCACGGACGGTTCTGGGTGCTGAAAATAGAGTACACCTCCGTGATCCCAGCTTTTATAGGGCCACACCCCTATAGGCCCAAGTCACCCCGGAGCTGGGGCCTCTCTTCAATGGCCACGCCCTGTAAAGGCGGAACCACGCCCCGAGTGGCTTAGCCACGCCCCCATCCCTGGACCTCTCTTTCTCCCGGCCACACCCTGGACGACGTCTCGCTTTGAACGCGGATGGCCACACCCCTTGAGTTACAGCCACGCCCTCTTATCTTGGACTGCGCCTCTGGGCCGCAGACTGGCCCCCCGATTCCCCTGTTCTATTCCTGAACCCACGTTTTTCACAAGACGCTTAGTTCAGGCAATCCTGGTTCCTTCGCTCACTCTTCCTTTCTGTTTCCACGGCTGAGCATCTCTCATGTTTCTCCAGTATTTGAAATGATGAAAGCACCCCAAAGGGGGCAGTGTGATTCCACGAACTCTCCGGACCTCTCCAGAACAGGAGTCCTCTAGGACCTGCCTTTGAATCAAGGTATTGGCGCGAGTATTGACCATACCACGGCCTGCCAAAGAACAAACAAAACTGTCTCAGAAGAAATACAGCTAGAATATTCCTTCGAAGGACGGTGAGACTTCGTCTCACGGACCTTGGACATGCTACCAGGAGGGACCAGTCCCTGAAGAAGGGCATCATGCCTGACACAGTGGAGAGAAGGGTCATCAAAAAGGAGGACCCTCCAAAGAGATAGTTGGCACAGTGACTGCAAGGTGGTGCCAACATAACAATTGTGAGGATGATGCCGGACCGGGTAGTGTTCCCTTCTGTTCAGTGTGTTGCTCCGACTGGTTGGCAACTAAGGACAACTACACCCTCCAGACCCAGGAACCAGAGCTCCCTCCTTTCTCGGCCCCTCTCAAGCCCCAGGAGACAAACGCCAGCCCCTCCGTTTCTTTTCTGTCGAATGTTATTTGTTTTGTTGTGGAGAGTCTTCACCAAGGCAACCGTTTTGGCGTGTGCAATTTAGTGACACTGATCCCATGCTTCACCGTGGACAACCAATTTCACGTGTCTTTTCTGAGTTGTTGCTACCTCCTTGACATACACTCATGGTCCCTGAGTTTTCTACTTAATCTTTTGGGTTCCTGTTTTCACTTTGATCCCAAAGAGATAGTTCTTTAAAAAGTACTATGCTCAAGGTAGACTTCCCCCCCCCTACTAGCTAAGTTAAAATATAAGGAGTCCTGGAGGCATTGGGGGTTATGCGTTGGCTGGGCCACTAACCCCGCAAGGCTAGCAGTTCAAAACCAACAGCTGCTCTAAAGGATAAAGATGAGGCTTTCTATTCCCTTAAAGAGTTGCAGCCTCAGAAACCCACAGGAACAGTTCCACTTTGTGCTATTGGGTCACTATGAGTCAGAATCAATTCCATAGCAATGTGGCAATGCTTTTTATTTATTTATTTTTCGGGGGAAGCTAAAGACAAATTTTAAAACTTCAGACAATATTAATGTTAATTTAAGGTTTAAAGATGATTTCAGAGCTTAATCCACTATAGCTCCAGAAAGTCTCTAGAGTCCAGGAGTTATTTGAGATTGTTTTCCAATATCCCCCCTTTGATCAGGATTCTACTCTAGAATCTGTGATCAGAAAGTTCAGTAATGGTAGCCAGGGACCATCTCAGTCTTCTGATCTCATGATAAAGGAGTCAGTTGTTCTTGGAGGCAATTAGCCACACATTCCATGTCCTCCTCCTCCTCTTGATTCTCCCTTTCCCTTTATTGTTCCAGGTGAATACAGACCAATTAGTGTGCCTTGGATGGCTGATTATAAGCTCTGTAGATTCCAGGCACTCCATGATGAAGTAGAAGCAAGAACAGAAGCACTCAACATGTTATTAAGCTAACTAACTGCGTGTCTCATGAAACGAGGATTTCCAAACCAAGGAATCAAATCCCATAAAGTGTTTGGGCGTGTGTGTTAGTAAGCTCAGATGCTAATCTGTGTGTGTGTGCGCGTTGATGTAAATATGCATATCGGTCACACAAATTAAAGAACCCTGGTGACATAGTTCTAAGTTGGGCTGCTAACCCAAGGTCAGTAGTTCAACCCCACCAGCTGCCCAGTTGGGAGAAAGATGAGGTGGTCTGCGTCCATAAAAATGTATGACCTCAGAAACCAGTTTTGCAGTATAAGGAGACCCTAACCTCCAATAAAATTTAAGGAGAACACATATTCGGTCTTGAAAAGGCCGAAAAGATAACACAAGAGCACAGACACCCCATACAGATGGGGAAGGCCATTCGCACCAGGTCATAATGGCGTCTGAGGATACAGTTGGAATGGTAGTTAAATAAGGCATGGACCAAAGGAAGCTCACAAGTTCATGATGGGGGGCAGGTCAATACATCGCAAGTTGCAGGTGGGACACAGAAGTGGGAGCATGACCGTAATTGGGACACATACATTCCGTTAGATAGAACCAGGACCTCCTGACCAAGGCAGTCAGGACACAGCTGATAGGGCATGACTCATGTCTATGCCATCCCCAGGAGTGTCCCCGGTACAGGATTGTCCATCCAGATACAGCCAGGAAAGCCCCCAAGAGAGGTTACACCTCCCTGGTTGGCTGGAGAAGGGTGGAAGGAATCCACTTTCAAAAGCACTCTGCCTGAAGACCTGTGTTAGTCTGGGGACATTAGAGAAACAAATCCACAGAAACCCATGTGTATAAGAGAGAGTTTTATATAAAGGGTAAGTGCACCTCAAGAAAACATCCCAACCCAGTGCTTCCCAAGCCCACAAGTCCATCATTAACCCATATGTCTGACATCAATCCACAAAGTCCTCCTCCATCTCACAAAGCACACAGTGATGCTGACTGCAGGAGGAAAGCCGAAACCGTAAACGTGTAAGCATCTCAGCGCTGATGGGGGGGTCTCCACACAGCAGCTCCATCACCCAGGGCTGCATCAGGGTAGGTCCATGCGGTTTCTCCTCGGGATGTCTTGCGGGAAGTGAGTCTTGCCAGCTGAAGCAGGGAACTGGCTAAGGCAGCTGGACCCTGGTCCAACCATCACAAGGCAAGAGACTCGAGAACTAGAAAGGTGAGGCTCACTGAGCCATTCATCTCTCTGCCCTTCAATGAACCCCGTATGTGTTTATTGGCCAGGTTGTCACAATAAACTATCTCAGGGTCAGATTATCTACATCCTCAGTGAATCATCAGAAGGAATTCAATGGAGGCTTCATCTATGTGGGGACTCTGTGTACATGGATTTTGAATTTTCAATGTCATCCATAGCCTTCTGCAAATGGGGTACTCAGAATTTAAACTCTAGTGCAGGGAGTCCTGGGGGCATAGGTTGTTATGAATTGGGCTGCTAGCCTCAAGGTCAGTCCTTCAAATCCAACTGTCCCAGTAGGAGAAAGATGAGGTTGTTTATTCCTGTAAAGATTTGTGATCACAGAAACTCAAATGGGCGGTTCTATTCTGTCCTACAACACAGCAGTGAGTGGGCATCACCCAGCTTTTGCCAATCCAGCACTTTATTACTGTGTACTTTATGGACCTCAATCATAATAATTGCTACCCCTTTATTGTTTAAGGGGTGTCCTCCTTCCTTCAAGCCCCAATGGAGTTAGTACTTCTCTGGACCCTGAACACATTCCTAAGCATCTAGACCTGATGAGGTCATAGGGAGACGGGAGTATAGAAACAAATCAAGACCCCCCCCCTTTGTACGCACCCTGCCTCAAAAACAGACTTGGAGCTGAACAGGAAAGATTCCTCCCTGCTGGCACTACTTCCACCTCCACAAGCCACAGGCAGAAATCCACGAGCCCCTTCCTCCATTAGGTCTGGGATTCATCGTCCAAGCACCCAGCCTCCTCCTCCCTTAGACCGGGCGGTCCTGGACCCCTGTTCGCCCACCCACCAGACCCAAGAGTATGAACCTACAGCCCTCTTCTCCCTCAACCCCCCAAACTCAGGCCCCAATCACCCTATTCCTCAGACCCAGGAGCCCAGGCTCCCAGTCCCAACTTCCTCTGACCCAGGAGGCCAGATGCCTAACCTCCTCCTCCTCCTCCAGACTCAGGGGCCCCAAGTTTAAATCCAAGAGTCCTGGTCCCAAGACCATCCCCATTCAGACCAAGCAGTCCAAATCCCCAGTCCCCTCCTCCCTCAGACCCAAGGGTCCTGGCCCCCAACCCCTTCTTCTCTCAGACTCTGGAATCTCTCCTTTCTCAGATCGGGGAGTCCTGGCCCCCAACTCCATCTCAGTTCTCCTAGACCCAGGAGGCCAATTCCCCAGGCCCCAAGACCCTCCTCTCCCAGACCCCTCAGCCTAGGACCAAATCCCCCTGCCCCACTAGACTCAGAGGTCTGATCCCAGGCGTTTGGGTCCCCAGCCCCCTCCCCCAGCCCCAGG